ATTTTGTTAACTATTGATGTATTTGAGGCACGGTGCATCGGTCGTTGTTGCAGCTCGCGTGCGCTTTACCCTGATCTTTCACTTTCAACTTTTTTTTTTTGGGACCTCCAAAATCAAATGTAGATTTTTTTGGAGTTTACATCCGTAAAATCCTCTTTAGTACAGTTAATCGTCTTCGAATCTCTTATAGTATGTACGGATTTATTCGGACTCAAGGTCCTTTCTGTCATAAAAAATCTTTAAAAAATCTTTCCTTGAAAGACTTCAAGTTATACATTTTGCATACGTGGAAAAGTAATACCGTGTACGCATGCGCAGCTTCAATAATTTTCCTGGAATTGGCGAAATTGCGGGTGTTGCTGCCAACAACACCAGCAGCACTGGCAACGAATTCAACAACAGGCACGGAGTAATTGCCGTTATTAGCAGCGACGTAATGATGTATGGTAGTAATGAGTACGTGTACCAAATACAAGTTTGGCTGGTGTGTGTGTAACCGTTGTAGTGATGAATGAAATGGAAAACTACGCATACGAGTCAAGCAAGCAAACAGCAAAGAAAATAGACGAAAACAGGCATACTATGTACAAGTATGTGGATACAACATATAGGCTTCCGTTGTTGCGTCAAAAACCCCATCGATATTATATTTTTATGTGATTGTCGAAATAATTCTTTTTATCAGCGTCTAATCTATAATATTAAGGGGTTAGGGGTAGTTAGAATTTTCAAAAAATCAAATTGCTTTTTTTTTGCATTTTCGTTAAGTGTAATATCTTGAAAATAATTTCTGAAAATTTCAAGTTGATCCGATAATTACTTTTAAAATTATTCGATAAATAACAAAGAGCGCTCGGACACTTCAAAGCGCTCGGGAGCAGGTAGCTGCAAGAAACTTTAAATGCGTTTTTCTCAACACTATGTTTTTCGAACTGGTCACAACTGTTACTCGAAAACCGCTCAGTAGATTTTAATGAAATTAATATAGCTTTTAGGATACATAATAAACTGGGGCCTGATCGAAGGATTTGTTTTTTTTTTAATTTCGACTTTTTAAGACCAATTTGCTGTTGGTTTTTTCCCAAAAATCTAGAAAAAAAATTCCTGAGGCCGCCATTCTGTTAATTTTTGAAAAAACAAAAAAGCTTCGTCCAGGCTTTGGATTATCTATTTATAAAACAAATTTTTTCTATACGATTGATTTTAGATGAATCTCCAAGGACTTATGACTGTCACCGCAAGGACCTTTTTTTTGGAACTGGGTTAACATAGACAGCTATAACTTTGGAAATTAAAATTTTTTTTTTTTTTAATTTTCGTGACTTTAAGTCAAAACATTGCATAATAATGCCATATTACTACTTTTGTAAAATAACTTGATTTAAAGCAAAAGAAAAAAAATTACTGAAAATTCAAATTTTTTTGTGCCTCTGACTACCCCTAACCCCTTAAGGGTACCCGAGTCTATTTTCACTTGGTGCCTTAAAAGGGAATCCACGCGTTGACCTGTCTTTTTCTGAGGAGGTTTTTTTATTTTTATAAAAGGTGTAGGTAACGTGGTAGATTGCAGCTTGAGAATCAGCAGACCAGATCTAGAAGTGACGTATGTGCATAGCTTTGTGATAGTATTTCTACTTTTTTTTAGCTCAAGATTCTCCAAACTTAAGATACCCAGGAGTTTAGGAGAGCATAACTGTATATTGCAAACCCGATGAAAAACATTTCGTTCCAATGGCGGTCGGGTCTAAGTAAGCGGAACGGATCTGGATTTTATCCGGCCATTGACTGTCTACTCAGCAGCAATTATCTGTGGAAGGTTTTCTGTCGTTAAAATAACAACAAATACCGAAAACAAAAATAGACAAGCTCAGAGTTGCATCTGCTGGGCATAGATTTTACCATAAGCGTAACTGTATCTTCTCTGAGACTTACCCAGCCTTACTGGTATATACCGGCGAGTATATAATATATATTTATTTGAATAGATTGGGTTATAAGCTTGTACTATATGTGCGATGCAAGTAGATATATGTGTGAGATAAAGCGATACACTCTATGTATTTATAGATGAGTGTGTTTGTGTGTGTGTATGTATAAAAATCTTCGACGACATTAAAGCGCATTTGCAGCGGCTACCACCTACTTGCCCGCTGCTACTGCAACTGCTGCATTATTGTGTGTAGCAAGCAATTGAACGCCTGCATTGTTGCTGCCGACTGCTTCCCCCATAATTAGTCATATTTGTTTAGCTGCGTTGCATGCAACGAATGACTACGCGTATTTGGTGTGGCAAAGTGGCAACTACGACATAGCACACTTATGGTTTTGAACACAGCAGCCAGTTGGTCCACCAGCTGTTGCGCACAGGCACACACACACATACAAATACATACACAAAGCCAAACACCGAGTGCAGAATTGCGAAAAAAGCCAACGCAGCTGGGATTCTTCGCCGCAAATTGCGATTCTTCATTGACCATTGACCAATGGCAAAGCGCAAGCAAGCCGTGCAATACCGCGCCGCTTTATGGTATGTATATACAGTTATTAAGCATTAATGCAATGCGGAAAGCGCCTGAAAGCGTCGCGTTCGTGGTCGCTTGTCTTCTGGCGTTTATAAATCTAACTTTCACTTTCAATTAGCAAATTTGTCATAAGCAGCCGCGTGTTCTTTTTGGCATGTACCCACACATACACACATATATACACATGATCGCTCATGCGCCTACGCATTTGCATAGTACGTGTAGACTTTCATAACACTCTTTGCTAGGGTGCCAAGTAGTGTTTTCTTTGTATTGCTTCACTTTTGAAAATTTTCTAAATATTGGGGAAATAAATTTCTAACAATATATTTGTTGTTGTTTATTACGTTTTTGGTCGGTCACTTTCGTTGTGCGTTGCCAAAAGCGCTAAAAATTGTTTTGTTAATTTTTAGACGTGTTTTCGATTTTTTTTTTTTTAATTTGTTTTTTTTTTTAATTTTTTTTCAAAATTTTTTCGTACAAATATTTCACCCAAGAAAGAAGTGGTGAATTACACATTCTTGTCAGCTAAATTGTGGCGCGTATTTTCACTTGTCGTCGTCGTCGTCCGCGTTGTGCGATACTACGCTTTGTTGGTCTAACGGTTTCGCTCATTTTGTATGCATTTTGCGCAGCGGATTAATGAGACGAAACGCGAGTTGTTGTTTGTAAATGGTAGCAGCGCTTAGCACCGACGGGGAAGAGTTCGGTAGCGTGCTGACAAATGGTCAACAACATGCGTACATTATCAAATCAAATGCACAAAAGGCGCTGGTGCGTGCGTTGTGGAAATTCAGTGGCAATAAAATTAATTTCTAATTGCACAGCAACTATGCGGGTCCAAAGAGCACGTTGAAATGTTGGCCGACCATGCAAAAATTCTATCCAGCAATACTTGTATATAAATCATACTAATGAAGTCTTTACATATAACGGCAACAGCAGGCTATAAGTATTAAAGAAACTGTGCTTTAATTGAAGCCCAACAATTATTTACAGTCCTCTAAAGAAATGCGAAAACTTTTAAATTGACGACAGCTCCAAAGCAACTTTCCAATTCCAATAGCCGTGGCTTAAGTTCTCTCTAGGTTATTTCAATAGAATGGACACGAACCGATGGAATCTTAAGAAATAGTGCGCTTAAAGCCAAATTACATAAATACCAGTTAAAACCAGTGTAGATCAGATATATCTATAGTTGTTATGCGTCAAAACTTAAGAGAATACGCTTGAAAAGTAATCGATCCGGTTCAAAATCGTTGCAACAGTATCGAAACTAGTTAGAAATGACTAGATTATGTAATATAACACTGAATAAACACACTGAGAGAGAACTGGCATTTGAATAGAACTTCTTGAAAGTAATAAATGTTAAGCGAAGCTTCAATAGTTAAGAAAATCTTCAATGATAGATTTTAAAAATGGTAAAAAGAAATGGCAAAAACTTTTGCAAAAATATTTGGAACCCCACTTTTAGAGTGATCAAAACATGCGAGACACTTACTGAAAATATTCCCAGCCAGTTCTGAAAGTATACGCTTGCCCGGATATAGGTATATGTATCTGCCCTCTAAAGTGGGGGAATTCTCACTAATTTACGAGAGCTTTGCATAGTTTTATTTCAAGATAATATGATAACATCGGAAATAATGAAAAGGGCGTTTCCAAAGGTTATGACATCGAACAACTTATATGTATATAAATATAAATCTTGGAAAGGTTTGACCAAGCTTATTTTCAATTTTCTTACGTGCACCCTAATTTTTTCCGGCGGACGTCGTTAAAACGTCGCCGAAAAGATTATAGATTTTGTTACATGCTCAAAACTACACTTGGGTTAACAGAACTGACTGCTGCCAAGAGGCTAAACAGTCTCAACAGTAACGACGTCTCAAAGTAATATAGAAAGGGTTATATGATCTGGTAATAGTTGGTGTTGTTGTAACGGCAGAAATCATCCCTGGAGTAATTTGGAGGAATGCTGCCGAATTGATAGTCCTTGGCCGGATAAAATCTGAGTCTATTTCCGGTTCCGTAGAGCCGACTGTCGGTGGTATGGAGGATCTGGAGGTCTCTGTCTCTCCCTCGCTTTACCAAACTTTGTAAAACTCTGTGGTGAAGTTAATATAGTGCGCTCATATATAAATCAGTTCAAAAAGGGGTGAAATACGAGTATGTAGGTCTTAATGTTCCCCAGCACTAATATGATGTATATTGATAATTCTGTTGGGTTGATTTTAAAGAAGATACCCCTGGTGATAAGCAAGTTATCTTAATAAAACGAATAGTCTATAAAGTTTTGAAACTAATTTGGAAATGTTGCTGAGCTGGCATAGCGCCATTGCGTTTGAATGTTCATTTGTCTATACTTTGAAGATATCCTTCTACCATATAGATTTTTAGTTCATTTTGATAATTTAAAAAACGTATACTGTTTTAATCTGTCTAACTAAAAACTTCTTCTGTGCCTTTCAGTATGTCCTTGCCGCGATTCCAAACCAAACGCCGAAAACTACAACGAAACTGCCAAACCTTTACGCTGGGGCATGGCGCCGGTGAGTTTAATAGCCGATGATTTTGTTACCGCACTGAAAGTGCTGCCATACCAGCATCATGTGGTCACCGCTTGCACATCCACCTATCAATCAGTGGCGCAAGCATTCGCCGCCAAACACAACATACCGCACGTTTACAATAGTTTTCAAGAATTGGCGCGCAGCCCAAATGTTGGTGAGTAAAACAAAGGATGATAGAATTAGAAATCAAAACTAAAATGTACTCGTATACATATATCTTGTTATTCTGGACACCCACAGATGTGGTCTATATCTCGTCCTTAAATCCCTTCCATCTGGAGATCTGTCGCATGATGCTGGATCACGGCAAGCACGTGCTCTGCGAGAAGCCACTTTGTATGAATGAGGATCAGACACTACAGCTAATTGGACACTCGCATAGCAAAGGTTGCTTTCTCATGGAGGGCATTTGGTCACGTTGTGTGCCCGCCTATCAATATATACGCAAACAGATTGAGGCGGACGCATTGGGTGATGTGCTTAATGTGAAGTGTACACTTGGCTTGCCCATGCAAAAGGTGGGACGTGTAATGTGAGTTATGGTAAATTATTTAATCATTAAACACACAATATTTTTTGTTGCATTTTTTTTCGCAGGCGTCGCAGTCTTGGCGGTGGCGTGACACTGGAATTGGGCGTCTATGCGCTGCAATTCGCATTGTGGGTCTTTGGTTATGCGCCGTCCAACGTCACCGCCAATGGCAAACTAAATGGGGATGGTGTCGATGAAGAGGCAAATATATGCATGAAATTTGGTCCGGGACGTGTAGCAGAGATTTTGTTGAGTAGTACGAAACGTTTTGACAATAAGGCGGTAATACAAGGCACGAAAGGCTGTATAACTGTGAGCTAACTGTTGTTTGTCTTTATACAAATCAAGGTATGTAAATTTAATTGTATACATTTTTTTTACAACAACTCAATAGGTGCCCGACTATTGGTGTCCGGTGAAGATTTTGGACGTTAACGGCACGGAAAAAACATTTCCATTGCCCAAAAGTGATTTGTCTACGTATTTTCCTAATCGCTTGGCGCTAAGTTTTGAAGCAGAAGAGGTGCGTCGCTGCATATCGGAGCACAAGTCGCAAAGTGATTTGTTCTCGCACAAAGAAAGTTTGGAATTATCATATATTGAGGATCAAATTCGTCGACAATTGGGCGTCGTGTATACAGAGGATGAAATGGCGAATTTATTTAAAAAGTGAAAAACAAATTTAAAATTAACAGAAAATCTATTAAAACAAATTTAATTATGTTCAACATTTCAATGTATTTCACTTCTTGTATCCCATTTTCCTCTCCCTTACTTCATCCTCATCTTCATCATCTTCTGCTCGTTGCAATTCACGCTCGTATAACTCTTTGAATGCCTCATATTCTATCAGCGCGACATGACAAACCTTGGTGGCGAATGTCTTCTCCGATGTGTTGGTAATTTGGTATAAACGCGGGTTTTTCGAAGGTTCATCTGGACTTACTTTTAACGGTCGTGGTACAAACAAACCCAGCCGCTCCAGAAAAACATGTCGACAACGTATCTCTTCCAGTGGTTTCGACAGCGCCTCTGATTTAATAATTTCGGGTATTTCAACACGCATTACCTCCTTTAAATATTTTACTTTCTCTTCTATATGACGTTCTGACTGTTCCATAAGATCGGGACAATTCATGAGCAACTTCCAAACGTTTTTATCTGTGCCCGCGAATGTTTTCAAGTAACTTATATGTTTGCGTAAGCGTAAACCGTCACTAACGTCCAATAATTCCGGGTATTTCGTTAGCAGCAAGAAAAGCAGTTTCTCACCAAATTGACAGCTACGCCAATTTTCAAACGCATCGATTATACGATGTTTTGGCCGTGAAAGCACATCCGGATTGCCAACGACAATGCGCAAAAAGTTGCTGGTATTTAAACCGTGATTCAAGAAAGTGTCATGCGTGTTTTGCCATTGCGTCTCAGTTACTCGAGACAGCAGTGGATTCAAACGCACCGCTTCATCAATATGCGCTTGTTCCAGTTGTGTTTGCTCTTCAGGCGCTGCAGCGGCATACCGCAATGCTGTCAACTGCGGTTGTTTAAACTAATATGCAATATATTAACCGCAAAATTAGAGGAGTTAATTGTCATATAGTTTACCTGTTGCTTTCTGTGAATAAATTGCACATTTTGTTTGAAATTAATAAAATATCTTCGAAACATTACGACTGTTTGTAGTTGAGTGTCGGCGAACAAATGTAACAATGCGGCGAATTTAACAGCTGACCGAAAGGAATGCCACATCATATTAAATGTAAAATAAATGATTAAGAACTAATTAAAAGTTTTTCTCTTATTTTTTACACTGCCCATAAACTTTTATAAAGATATCATAAGGGTTGCGAGTTGTTTATTTAAATGTTTTCTTTAAGTTAAAAATGTTCAATTATTAGTTACGATGTCTCTATTTTAATTTTTAATACGCTTTGTAATACCATTTTTTTTTAAACCGGTATTTGGGTTTCAAAATTTTAAAAAAATTTAGTGTATTGGATTAAGTTTTTTTCAATCGTGTATTTTAGTATATATATCTAGGATATCAGTGTAATTTTAAGATTAACCCCATCTAGAAAACCTTCTGGCATCACCTTGCGGCGCGCTATTGTGAAGATTTAATTCTTTACTCGGTAGAAGAAGCAGAATAAATAAAAAAATTGCACAAAGCAATTTTTAATTGTGCAAAAATCCGACCAAAATGTAAGTTGAGTAACAAATTATATTTTAAAGGTGTAATTTTAATAAAGTAATTTATTAAGTATAGTGTGATAGTGTAAAAGCGTAGTGTAGTTGGTTTTGATTTGCATTCTATGCTTTCGATGACCTTGAAAAGAAGTTGTACGCTATACCGGTTGAAGTTGTGTGTGAATCTGCTTCAGATGTTTTTTGTTGTTGTAATATTTAATAATAGTTTTTCTTATTTCGATTTTTTTCTAATATTAAATTATCTGGTAAATTTACCACTCAAATATTTAGCCAATAATGTTTATGAGTGGTGTTGTGAAATTGATCGAATCGTTAATCTATGTTGTACAAATATTTATTATCAAATTTGCAACAACATACGCTGGTATGCAAGTGCACCTAGCGTAATATACTATAATTTTTATACCCTGCACAGGGTATATTAAGTTTGCCACGAAGTTTGTAACACCCAGAAGGAAACGGCGGAGACCATATAAAGTATATATATAAATGATCACCGTGACGAGCTGAGTTGATTTAGCCATGTCCGTCTGTCCGTCCGTCCGTCCGTCCGTCCGTCTGTACATACGCGAACTAGTCCCTCAGTTTTTGAGATATCGATCTGAAATTTTGAACAAGTCTTTTTCTTACCAAGAAGCTGCTCATTTGTCGGAACGGCCGAAATCGGACCACTATAGCATATAGCTGCCATACAAACTGAACAATCGGAATCAAGTGTTTGTATGGAAAACTCTTTCATTTGACGAGGTATCTTCATGAAATTTGGCATGTATTATTATTTAAAGCATTAATCTAATCTTCGAAGAAATTGTATAGATCGGATGACTATAGCATATAGCTGCCATATTAACTGAACGATCGGAGTAAAGTGCTTGTAAAGGGCCTTTGTATTTGTGAAGGGTATTATAGCTTCGGCGCAACCGAAGATAACGTTTTTTCTTGTTTTTTTGTTAGATTCTGCTGGTCGGAAGGGGTCACTTCAAAACCCCATATCATTAGTCGTCATGCTGTCCCTGGCGCAGCGCTCCTTATCTCAAAAAAATAAAGTAAAATAAAGAAAGTAGCAATAAAATGATACGTGTGCGTTATTATCTTACCAATTGGTGTAGAATACTTTAGTATTTAATAAACCTACCCGAGTGAGTTCGTTCAGTTTTAACTTTATTCTCTTACAGCTTACAGCTTTCTACTCCGCTTTAAAATATAATAAATTAATATGGCTTTGCGTTGGGGTATCGTATCTGCTGGTAAAATTAGCCATGATTTCGCTGTTGCTTTGAGCACACTGCCAGCGAGTGATCATAAACTCGTCGCCATAGCGGCACGTCAAAAGGATCGTGCGGAAGAATTTGCCAAGACACATGACATACCAAATGCATTTGGTAGTTACAAGGAATTGGCTGCTTTTGCTGATGTTGGTGAGTATTTAAAATTGAACAGAAATTGCTGCCGTGCAACGAACTTCAAAATTAGTGAAAAGAATTGTTACAAGAAATATTTGTGATATAATTACATTATAAGTATTAAAAATTACTCTCATACTTCGTGCAAAGTCAATTTAATTTTTCCACACACTTGAAATGTTGTTTGACTAGTACTTGTTCATTAAAATTCAACACATACTCAACTCAAAGAGGCATAATCAGCGCTTTTAAATTTTTAATGTAGATACCGCATCAACAGTTTCTAAATTATAGGCACATATTTATACAGATATGTACAAACGTATACATTAACTTTCTAGAAGATATAAGATTAAGATATTGTCCGTACAATGACCTGAGCGAAAGAAAAACAAAAATTGACAAAATGGTGGCATTTAAAACAAAGTCGAATTTTATTTAAAATTTTTGGTTGTTTTTGGCATGCTAAAATTCGATTTTTGATCGGATCAAAAAACTAGTAGGTGATTGTATGAAGAACAATGTACATGTGTACAAAACATGCAAAAAGAATTTGATAGTGATCGGATTATTTGTCTCGGAGTAATCATTGCAGTAAGTTCGAAAAATACTGTTTGAAAAAAAAAGTTTAAATATTGATTTCATTTGACAGTTTAAGCTTTATACACAAATAATTTGTTAATTTGAAATAATGACATTTTTAAATATAAATCAAGATAAGTTTACATATTAATTTCTTCTATTTCCAAAGCTAAGTTTACGATTACATATGTTTTTAAATTCAACCCACAGATATTGTCTATGTTGGTGCCTTGAATCCACAGCACTTGGAAATTGCTTCGCTCTTTCTCGAACACGGCAAGCATGTTTTGTGCGAGAAACCGTTATGCATGAATTACAAGCAATCCAAGCAACTGACTGATCTTGCCAAAAGCAAAAATCTTTTCCTTATGGAAGCAATCTGGTCGCGTTTCTTCCCTGCCTATCAGTACACACGTCAGCAAATCAAAAATGGCGCGTTGGGTGAAATTAAAGAAGTGGAAGTTGCATTCGGCTTCAATTTGAGTAGTATTGACCGTTTAAAGTAAGTTTTATTATATAAAATAGTTATCTATATATATATTTTTGCTTTACAATTAAACTTTCTTTTTATAGCAAGAAAGATTTGGGTGGTGGCGTCGTACTGGATTTGGGTGTTTATGCCATACAAGTATCCCAATGGGCTTTCGAAGAAGCACCACAAAAGGTCATTGCCAAGGGAGAACTAAACGAAGATGGCGTAGATAAGTATGTTGAGGCCGAATTGCACTATTCGGGAGGCCGCGTTGGTAAACTGACGTTCGGCGCTAAGGAAGAGTTGGCGAACAGGGTGATCTTCAAAGGCACTAAAGGCGAAATTACGGTACATTGTTGTTTATTTTTTTTTACAATTTTTACAGCTTTTAACGCTTACTTTTAACTTTCACAACAGATCTTCAACTTCTGGTGCCCAACCAAACTTGTTGACGTTGATGGTCAAGAGAAGGAATGGCCACTACCAAAGGCTAAACTTGCTACAAAATATAGAAATTCTGAAGGTTTACGCTATGAAGCCGAGGCCACACGTAAAACCATTTTAAGCGGTAAAATCGAAAACGAGTTCGTTACACATAACGACAGTTTGATTATTGCCAAAGTACAGGATGACATTAGACGTCAAATCGGCGTAGTCTTCCCAGAAGATCAATAATGAAGTAAATGCCTTTCTTTTATACTTATAAACATTTTTATATAAGCAATGTCTTTGAGACAAAAAACAAAAAAAAAAATAATAATAATGAAAATGCTTTAATTAGTTTACCGTGTTTGCACGTAATAAACAAAGATGCTTAGCATTCAACTACCTGCTGCTAAAAACAGTCCAGATGATAAGCTTATTTATACTATATTTGTTGTTTTCTTTTACTTTGTGCTGACTGATTTATTGCTGGTGCATAATCAATAACACCAAAATAAATTAAAATCAAATTTACATACATACATACATTGTAGTGCTAATGCATACATTAATGCAAAATGCAAGATTATTTGCATTGATAACAACACAAACCGTTGCACCACATTAGTCCAACGCTACTGACGCGCAGCGTGTAAAATATTGTTGATTAGTTTTTCATAGGCCGTCTAACGTGTAACTCCGAAAGCGATACAAAAAAAAAGCCTAAAAACATATCCGCTAAACTATTGAATTTTAGAGCATTATGCCAGTGCTGAAGTGGGGTGTCGCCGCAGCTAGTCGCATAACGCACGACTTCGTCAACGCCTTGTCCACCATCGAGGACAGCCAGCATACGGTAGTAGCTGTGGCTGATGTGGAAATGGCACGTGCGCGTGATTTCGCCGAACGTCACGAAATACCAAAGTGCTATGACGGTTTTGACGCTTTGTCACTGGATGCGGACGTTGATGTGGTCTTTGTAGGCACATTGAATGCCTATCGCTATCGTGTGGTGCGTCTAATGTTGGAACGCGCCAAGCATGTGTTGTGTGAGAAACCGTTATGTTTGAGTGTGCCACAAGCCGAAGAGCTCTATCGTGTGGCAAAGGAACGCAATGTGTTCCTGATGGAAGGTGCGTCGCAGCGTGTCTAATCTGTATGTTTGCATACAATTTTTTTCAATTTTTTTCTTGTGCTGCAGGCATGTGGTCGCGCTGCTTTCCCAGTTATGCACGCCTCCATGAACTGTTGCAGTCCGATTGTATTGGCGAGTTAACACACATACAAGTGCAGCATGGCTGTCAAGCGTATGTGGAGCGCTCACTCGGCGATTCCATCACCCTGGACCTTGGTTTGTATGCGCTGCAATTGGGACAACTCATCTACAGTTGTGCGCCGGTGATTGTTAAGTGTAATGCTCAGCTAAATCATGTTGGTGTCGATGTGGAATGTGAATTCATTTTGGATTATGGTCAAAATCGCAAATTGACTGCATTCATTTCGGGTTTGGAGAACTTGGAAAACTGCGCCAAATTATTGGGCACCAAGGGTGAAATCAAGGTTGGTTGTTGCATGCTCTTATCACCCATTTTGTTTGTGATTTTTGTTTTTTGTTTTTATTTGATTGATAAATGGTGTACCAGCTCGATACTGATAGCAAATACATACAACAACAATTAGGTGTGGTAAAAGCTTCCAACTAAGCAGATAAGTGTTGTGACGAAATTGCCGTTATCTCGCTGTTTTGTTTAATGGTTGGCATTGTTGTTGTTGCTTAGCAAGTATATATGTAATTGCAAATAGTAGTGCCAATATTGATGAAAGATGAGATAAGTAGCAGCTCAAGACCTCATGGCCTTCCACATAAATTTAGAATTTAAAATTTAAAACTTAAAAATGGCAGATGGAAATAACTGTTCTTGTAACAACCTAAAATACTCCGACGTTGATGTCAAAAACTCGAACTCATAGTAGTTTCAAAATTCGCCCATTACAGTTATTTGTACTGAGTTTTTGTATACGATGCTGAGAGCTACAGCAACCAGTTAGGATTCAGCATAATGCCGTTTCTACGATAGTCGGGTCAACGTTAGTGGAACGGACTCGGTTTTTCATCCGGCCAAGTACTGTCAACTCGTCAGCATTATTATTGGAGTCATTAATGCTTTAACAAAACCAACAACAACAAGCTAGAATTTATATCCGGCGTTGTAGTGGCAGAATTTTCAATACAATTTGGTGATCGGTTAATACCGTTACAACAATAGCTGTCATTCTACTGATCCTGTAATAATTACCAAAACTATACATATTTACAAAGAATTCTAGTTGAATGTCAAATTGGCACTTCAGTTTATATATCTACTTTAAGCATACTTTTAGGCGTTGTAAATTGTTTTTTATGAATTTCTGCAAAAACTTACTATCAACATGCAACTGCGCCACCGATATGCATGAAAAGCTACAGTAAATTCATAAAAATATTCAGTCAGGGTTGCCATGCCTTTATAAAAAAGAAATTATTATAAAATAAAAAACTTTTTCCTGTCATTTACAGCTCAATAACTACTGGTGCTGTACAGCTTTAACGAAACCCAATAATGCTAATGAAACTTGGCCATTGCCCAGCACAAAATATGAATTCAACTACACAAACGCTTGTGGCCTGCGCTATGAGGCCGAGGAAGTGCGCAGATGCATAGAGAAACGTCTACTCGAATGCCCATTATTTACGCATGCGCAAAGCCTCGAGTTGCTACAAATCACCGAGAAGATGCGCAGACAAATTGGCGTCAACTATGATGATATTGTTTGTTTGTGTTTGTAAGTGAAAGTTATTTGAAATTTTTTTTCGAAATTTTTTTTGGCCACAAATCTTTCAGTCAATTGATTTTCGCTTTGTGTTAAGCTTTTTTGGCAATTTCATGATTTTAAATACATAAGTAGATGTTGTTGTTGTTGCAAATGCCTACACACTGATTAGCTAGTTAAATTGCTTTGTCTGCTTTTAGTGTTGAAATTAATTTTGTATCTATTATGGTTTACCGTTATACGCACTTTTTGCAGTAATTTTCATAATTGTATGCGAATATATAGTAACTTTTAAGATTGCTATGCTTTCTATTTTATTATTATTTAAGTTTTTGTTTAATTTTGATTCTCCAAAGACTTAGTTTAACTACATAAATTACTAGTTGTTATCGGTAATCGAGTGCTACATAATACTAGTTAGTTTTTATATATATTTACAAAGCTTATAGTGTATGTACGTATGTATTTTTGTAGTTTATTGCGTTGATGTGTGTCTAATTTTTGTTATCTTTTGCAGAAAATAGCCAATTTCGTAAATTAAAAACCAATTTTATGAAGTGTATTTTATTTTTTATTGACATTTTTTGAAAATTGTATGCCCCACTTCTTTAGCGGTTTAACTATATGTGTGTGGGTGTGTAGTGAACAAATTGCTGTGCGCTGTATGTCTGTATATGTGTCATTTTCAAGTTCGCATGTGTGTCTGTACGGTATTTTTCGCTTCAAATACAGCTTGCTTAGCACAAATTAAAGACTTTAGTATTTACTTTCGCATGTGTGTGTGTGATTTTAAAATGTTCAAACTTGTTTAACAATAATTTATACAAAGAATTATTGAGCAAATAACCATTTGAGGTAATAATTACATTTGTTTCAATAATTTTATATTTATAAAGGTTCATAAGTGAAAAAAATTTAAAAAACTTGCTTGGTTGATTTATAATAAAAAATATACCACAAGTAAAATGAAAAAAGGAATTCAAATAAAATTTACTTAACATTTTTTAATATTTATTATTTTTGAATAATTATTATGTGCTTTAATTATAAGTTTTTATTTTTGTAATTTGTTATAATTTTTCTCTTTATTCCTTTCAAAAAATATTATTTATTCTTAATTATTTTCTGCCAAATCTTTGGTTCCAGTCCTTTTAAGCACTACTTTTGTATTTAACATTTATATCTTCACGAAATTTTATATGAAATATTGTAGAAGGCAACGTTACAATCTGCAAAGAAATTGTTCAGATCGGATCCATATAGCATATAGCTGTCATACAAACTGACCGATCAAAATCAAGCTCTTGTATGGAATCCGTTGGATATGTGAAGGTTATTATAGCTTTGGTTAATGATTTTACTTGTTTTTTATTCCTTTCCAAGTGTTTTTTATTTTCAATTTTTTATTTGTTTTTTTTTTTTACAAATTTATGTTTTAATTTATTTTAAATCAACTTTTATGAGTTTTCTTTTTGCTATTTTTTTTTTCTTTTCAAGTTTTTTTTTTATTTATACGTATATATATTTTTTTTAATTTTTTCAATTTATGTTTTCTTTTATAATTTATTTGAACCCGATTTTCAATTATTATATATTTTATTTTTCAATGTTATTAGTGTTATGATTATTAATTAATACCCTTTCGATTCTAAGTTATTCTTTAGCTGAGTTTTAATTATATTATTTTTCAATTCAATTTTGTTTTTTGCCATTTTTAGTTATTTTTAATATTTATTAATTTATTTTTCATTTCTCTTCCATATTTTTTGTTTAATTTAAGTAAAAAAATATATTATTATTTTTTAATTATTGCTAATTTTTTGTATTATTATTATTTTGATTTATCAATCTATTTTATATAATCTATAATTTATTGTTTATGATATAGTTTATGTTATACATAAATACCTTTTTTCGATTATGTCATTATATTACATTTCGTTAAATGTTGTTTTTTATTATTGTTATGGTTATTTTATATTTTAATGCGTATATGTATACTTTAAAAACTTTTTTTTACAGTTGTGAAAACCTTTTTAAATTGATTTTATTTTTATTTAATTATTATTAGGGTTTTTTTGTTTACTAAAAAAATATAAAACTATAAATATGTATAACCAGTAGTAAATAAAACTAACAAAAAGAAATCTCAATATTCGGTAAAACAACGAAAAAAAAATACACAAAGATAATTTTAAGAGAAGTCTTATTTTATTAATTTCAAAAATTGTTTTATTTCGCCGAAAACCGCAATCAGCAATCAATCATTTTAAAATAATAATAATAGTAATATTTAATTATCAAGTAACTCATTTAGACCGGCTTACTCTAGTAATCTGAAACAAAAATTTATATTTACCCGTAAGCTAATTAATTGGAAGCAATAGTACTTAGAATATATATACATACCATAAAATAAAGTTGTGTGTTGAGGCAGAGAAACAGCGAAAATTTAAAATAATAATGTAATTAGTGTAATTTAAAAGGAAAATGAAATAAAATTTAAAGAATAAAATAAATAATTTTAAAAGTTTGGAGGTAGATTTAAAAAGTTACAAATACACTGGGAAGCAGAATACAGAGACTTTTGTGTAGGTTTGTGTTGAAGTTGCTCAGATATTCAGCGCAAATTTCATTTTTAGTTGATTTTCAATATATTTATTTGAAACAAAAACTGGCTTTTCAAATTTCAAAAGAGAAAACCAAATAATAATATGGAGGTTGTGACACTGTGGATAACAGTGTCTGAAAAAAAATTTTTTTTTTTGGGAATGAAAATTAATTGCAAAAATCATTGTTGCTTGATATATTTAAAAAAACAATTTTTTGTGAAGGGAAAAAATAATAAACAAATTAGGAATTTTTAATTGCTTCTAAATGCGTCACTGAATTTTCAAAAGCAGTAATACAAATATATCCGTTATGTGCTTTAACGAACGCAGATTTTAAATAAAGTTGCCTTATGGTGAGTTAAAAAAAAGGTGACGTTGAAAATTTTAAGTTAGGTTGCTGTTATTCAATTATTCCTTCGGACAAGAAAAAAGTCAAAATACATATATTATCTTTATTCACCACAGCGTTGTTTTATCAACTTAAAACTGTGCGAATCCCGTTACAAACTTTTAACACAACAATAACAATTAAGTTTGTTTGAAAAATATTTAAAAAATTCACCTGCCAAATAATGTCTAAGCTTCAAATGACTTCCACAGCTATATTTGCTCGCTGTTTCTCTAGCTAAATATGCTAAATGTGGAATTCACTGCCAACACACATAAAATTAAAAATATATAAATATTAAATGGGCATTAAAAAACCTTAAAAGAAAATTTTAAAAAATTTGAAGAAGTTTACATAACCACACACACTTTGCTTTAACATACATACATATAATATTATAGTTAGTAGTATTTTCTTTTATTAGCCATAATTTAAAAAGGAATATGAACTTTTTATATATATATAAATATATATATAATTAATTAACACTAAATATAGTATATATTATATAAGTATGTATGTATATGCTAACAGTATATATTAAATTGTTCATACAGTGTTGAAAATTACTAATTGCGTGTGTGGTAGTGTATGTGTGTGTGTGTGTGTCTTGTTTTTTATTATACAAATTCTATACATAAGTTATCTCGTGAGTAGTGTGCAACAAAGAAGAAAAACTTAACATTACTTATCGAAGCAGATTGCTGCTTGGCTACAAAAAATTCATTCATTCATTTCGGCTGCTAGACAGCTTAGCTTATAGGTATAATTGTTACTTGCTTTTACTTTTTTTTTTTTTGTAATTCTTTTTCATATATATATAAGTGATTTCAATTTTAACGTTTGATTGCGAGCTAATTCACTTACGAAATTCCGCTTAAACTTTTTTTTTGTTTATTTTATATAAATTTTTGTTTGCTTTCGTTTCATACGCCATTGCTGTACTTTTACTTATACCGTTTTACGCTTACCACTTCTAGAGGCTAATAGAAATCAAGTCTTGTCTTAAAAATTGCTAAGAGTGACGCAGTAGGCGTGGCGCTAGCGCGGCTGTATGCATATGTATATGTGATTGTGAGTGCTTGCAAAGCATCTGATTGTTGAGTGGCTTTGTGTTTGTTCCATAGACGAAAAGTTGACACCGCTTTGCGCTTCTTAATTGCTGACCACATTGAGTGCTTCTGCAACCGTCACAGCAGCGCCGACTGCAGTTATAACTACAGCATTGCTGTCCTCTGTTTGTTTAACGGCGCTATCAGCGCTGCCAATGTCATTCAAAGCTTCCGCATGACTAAGCGTTTTAGTAACCTCGTCCGTGTTCTTGCTTGTTGCAGCAATGCTATCGACATCAACAGCCATCAGTTTGCCTGTGTCTTCTGTGGCATTATGCCTTGTGTTTGCAACGGTTTGTGCTGTTTCCAATGCTGCCGCTTTAACAGATTCCACACTTGGTTTGGGTTCTGCATTTGTTGTGCAACTTTTCGTCGACTCGATTGAGTTTGTGGATTGTGTTGTTGTGTTTAGTATTTCGACGACTTCCACCTTTGCTGCCTTCACTTCGTCTAATGTGTCGCTTTTTATCGCATCTTGACTATTGCTGTCGCTGTAATCACAATCGGTAGTGACGGTGCGGCTGCTGACGACGTTGTTGGCGCCATCATTTGCGCTCAAACACGTTGTATGTGAGACGGACACAAGTGTGGCGGTTGTATGGCGATTGTGTTGTAGTAGATCATTGATTTGTGATAGACGTGTTGCACTGGAAATCGGTGTGCTGAGTTGTATGAAATTGTTGTCGCTATCTGCGCTAATGTCGCTTTTGCTAGCACTTTTGCAATCATCCGTGGGGATGTGCGTATTGTTAGCGCTTTTGTTGCAGGAAGTATTATTGTTGTTATTGGTAGCAGCAATGGTGATTATGCTATTGCTGCTGATGATACTAGTGCTGCCATTGGTGGCGTTGCTAATGTGTTTGGCGCTGGTTATGCCTTCTGCGTCGCTACCCACTTCGCTGCCGCCGCTGTCCTCCATGCTAATGCAGCTGGGCGCTGTGGTATCGACAAGCGCGTAGCTGCTCGTGTCTTGATACTGTGCTGCTGCTGCGGTTGTGGTGGCGGTGCCGTAAGGTGGCAGCGATGGTACGGCGCATGAGCTGTAGGTCGTTGGTGGTGGCGCTAGCGTTGATTGTGCTGGCGCGGCAGCTGCCACTGTGGCGCTTTGCTGGTTGTGCTGCGGTAGGTAGGGGCCAGCGCTTGTAGTTTGCTGATAGGCAGTGTAGGTGGAGACCTGCAATAATAAATGCTTATTTTTCCGCGAATAAAAAATAATTTTCACAGTTTTGAAAACTTGAGTAAGGTTATTTTTAAGTATCAAGCTCATATGCTATGTATCATATCACAAATTAATTATAATTTAATTAGTAAGAGACATCGGAGACCCAATAAAGTTTATAAGCAAGATATCTACAGCAAATTAGGCACGTATAAATATTTAGTTCGGACAACCAGCATATAGCTGTCCTACAAACTGAGCGATCAAAATCAAGTTAAATATCTTTTAACCTGCAAGATGCCTAGTTACGAAATTTATATAGTTCAAATAGGATTTCAAAGTTGGTTTATAGAAAACAAGGCAATGAACTCTATTTTGACAATTTCATGGCACAGTACTCACCTGTGTTGAATAGTTCACATTCTGATGATAAGCACTCACTGTGGCGGTGCTGGCCGACACACCAACCGCGCTGCCGTAAGCTGGCAACATTTCGCCGTACGCTGTGGTGGCCGACGCGCTGCCCGCGAACAGACCCGCATCCAAGGTGTCCAATTGAAAGCTTTGTTGTTGTTGTTGTTCTGCAGTCGTTTGCAAATCGCTAGAACTAACTGCACTGTAATGGGTGGCTGTGGCCGTGCTTTGTTGCTGATAGTAATTTGCAGCCGGTTCACTTGGATATGCGGGCGATGCGTAACCCGAACTATAATTTGATTGTGTTTGCATGGCATAATAGCTGCCCGGTAGCGTATTGGCGTACGAAGGCGTCGGCGGTAGAGCGCTGGTGTGTGCACCGACAACGGTGGCGGTGGTAGCGCAGGCAGTTGACAAGCTGTAGCTGCTCATCGTGCTGCAGAGTGGTGGATTCTGTTGTTGGCGATTCTCCATTTCCAAACGCATGATTGTGTGTATGAAGTGTGTGCGTACGCGCGTCGGATTGAATTCAACACGGCCCACTGTGTTGAGGCAGGCGTCACGAGTGCAACCGCAGGGAAACATGGCGCGATCAACCTGTAGTGAGTGCAAATAATAGTTTTGAAATGCAAAGACAAAAAAAAATCTCTTCACTTTACCCACCTGACATTTGATGCCCGCTTGACTGCAAGCACAAGTCTCTGGATCACAGAATTCCACACACGCGCAGCCGCACACCTCACGTGAGTTGCGTATGTCGCGGCATTCGATTTTCTCGGCCGCATCGATTTTGCGCACACCAGCCGCTTTGAGTAAAGCGCGTCGCTGCTTCGGCGATACCGGTTGCAGAAAGCCATTCGATTCGGCATCCAAATCCGAGCCGCTACCCTCACTTAAGTAATCCTCTTCGGACTCTTCGCTGTCATCGCTCGACGAACCGCGTGGATTGATCTCTTGCAGCTGCAAGCGATGCGCACGCCGCAATTCGGCGGCATGTTCGGCTAGTGTAAGCGTTTTGAAGCCGATATGTCGTGCGCCCATGCCCAGCGTACAACCGCCCGCCGAGGGCACACAACCGAAACCCTGTTGCCGTGGAAAGTAGTAAACTTGTACATTTTCGAAGTTAATCGAGCGCTTCAGCTTTTTAACTTGTGTACCGACGCCGGTGGTAGCCAGCTGTGTTTCGTGTGCTGCATCGATGAGTGCATCATCCTCATCGAGTCGTCGTTTCAAATTCGAACGCAGCGGTTTCGTTAACGTAGCTAGTGATGGCAAGGCGGCGCTAACAGCAACAGGCACAATAGCGCTGGTGTTGGTTCTCGCACTGTCGACGAATGTTACATTGGCACCACCACTGCCACTGTCGCCGCTGCTGTTGCAAGCAATATTCGTTATTACTTTGGATCTGTTAACTGTGGGCGTATTGATGGCATCGCTGTCGTTGGGCGCCGCCGATTGGCTGGTGTCGGCTAGACCGTTTAGCGTTGTCTGCAGCGCCGATGTTTCACTGCCCAGCCCCGAGTCGGAGCCGTCGCTACGTAACTCTTCGGCATTTTCATCATGTTGGTTACTTAGCTTTGCCGCACTAGTATTGGCAGCGAGTGCGCTAATGAGTTTCTCTTTGCCCGCCGTCGTAGTGGGTAGCAGGTGCTGTGATGGGCTTGTAGGCGTAATTATGCGTGCCTCACTTGGTAAGTCTTTTTCTGCATTTGGCGTTATAGTATTTGTCTTTAGGTCGTCTATAGTAATCCATAGTAAATCGGCGCTGGTGGAAGCCTCATCATTAGTGGAGGAATCCAAAGGATTCGACATATCCTTAATTTCCGTATTCGATGGTTGTGTGAAATCATCGATGGCTAATGGATCCTCCGAGGGCACATCGGATACAGTTGAAGAGTTTATATCCCCATCGTTTAGCACGATTATTTCGCTGTCTGAAATAATCAAAAATTTTGACAACTTAATATTAGATTTGGAAACATTTTCAGGACATAATTTTGCAATTATTGTAATTTTTTTTTAACTATGCAAAAATTATTAAACATCATTTGGTAGATATTATGTATAATGCCGTGGTTAAGTTTGAATACGAAGAACACAAATTCTACAGAATTTCAGTATTGAAAAATTAGTCCCTGCATTCAGTACTAATTCCCAAAAAATATATCGATAACAATAATATCGTCCCCTTCGTCAATTTTTAGTCTTGCTTACCTTCTAAACGTTGCTCTTGATCACTTGGTAATTCTAAAAATATGTCGCCAGCGTCCTCTTCTTCAGTGTTAAATTCCTCGTCAGCTGTATCCTCTCCCCCAACGGCTACTCCATCATCGCTGGGCAGTGAAACTGCCTCTACACCTTCTTGCTGATACTCCTCAAATTCATCTTGGGAATCAATACCAATGCCATCATGGTATTCATGTAGGAAACCTTGCGATGGCACGTCCTCCAACTCACCATCTACTTCGTCTGCTAGGTTTTCCACCAAACTAGCAGCACGTTTTAACGGCGGTCGCAGCATAACGCTGCTCTTTATCTGCAATTCGATGTCATCGTCGGCATCACAATCGTCACCATCATAAACTGAGATGCCCTTCGGCTCATTACCGTTAATCACTTCTACAGTTGTGTTTTTACAATTAATAACACTTAATTTATTCACTTCTATGCGCTTCATGTTTTTGTTCTCTATTTGTTCATTCAAAAGTTTTGAAACCACTGTTGTCTCCACTACACGACCGTCCCTCGCACTTTGCTCTAGTGTCGCTTCACTTTCGACACGAATACTTTTTGTTGGTTCGGTGACAATCTCTTCGGCACCTGGTTCGGTTTCGTTGTCGGCTATTGTCGTATTGCTGCCAAATATCGCACTGCCACTTGCATTCTTCTGAATATAATTAATGAAATTCTTGATTGGTCTAAACATTATCTCTGTGCAAACAATGTTTAGCGTAGTAAGTCCCGTCTAACGCACTGTGCTGCTTTAGCAGCTGCAGCTGCAGAATTACTTCTGGACTTGGACACTAAGTTCTTGACGTGATGAAGAATATATATAAAATTTCACGAAACTCAGTCGTTCGCATCTGAAGGTAAAACAGAAAATATACATACATGTAACTGTAATATGTACATATTTAAAAAATAATTTTTAATTAAGGAAATTTGGTTAGTTTTAAATAACATAAACCTGCAAAGTATATTATTTTTATAAACCATGCCAAAATAAACAGGTTTATTGTGCCTTCGCACGACAGTCGGGACTACGTTACCGGAACGGACCCGGATTTTAATCCGGTCAAGAATTGCCAACTCGCCACGATTCCTCCAAATTACTTGAGAGACATTTTGTGGCACTACAACAACAAACAGGCTATTTGTCGTTTCACGATATTTTGGCGGTTCGGGTAATCGAGACCATCGACCACATCATTCTACAATATTCGACAGCAACTTTCTTAGGTAACTGCTACATAACCAAATATTTATTGCTGTGATTAATTAAGCTTCTATGTGAACGGAAAATTCTCGAATTTATATCTGGTGTAGGATTGGCACATCAGCATCATATCCGTCTTACCATAATTTAGCTTTTTATTTGTTTTGCTACAATCATATAAGACTTGTATGGAGCCAGTCCAACATTGTCGGGCCAGCAAAGTTTTTCTATTAATACACAAAGTAAACTGTCTGCAAGTCCAAGCATTGCATAACAACATTATATTGTGAGCAAAATGTCTGGATTGTATAATACCTATACATAATTTTAATAAAAAGAATGCATTTATTGCAAACTATAATAACTATATAACGACAGCGCATCATTTCACCTTTTTTCGCCGACCATCAATATTTTCAAATTATCGATAGTTGTGAAATAATTGACTTGAAGCCATACGAACTTTTGATATGCTAGCTACACATACCTACTTACGTCATTAATCATGCAGTGTTTTTCAATTCGTTATAAATACGAGTAGGTACATTAAATAAAAATTAATTATCCTTGTTGAAAGCAGTGTGAAAATAATTCGGTAAAACAAGTCGTATAAATGTAAGTACATCAACACATTTGCAAACAACAAATAGAAAATGTAGGTGTCACTTGTGTGTACACACACACATATATATACATAATATACGTACAAATGTGTACTCTTCGTTAGAAACCTTTTAAATAACAATATATGTATGCTACTTACTATGGCAGACTGACGATGATAGTTGTAGTCTAGTGATAACTGCAATGATTGCACGGATAAATATAATAGAGTGGGCGATGCATTTCTATGTGTGGGTACAAATAATACAATAATCGTGTGCGTATGTGCAATGCGCGCCAATGCAGGCGTCCCAGCGGCGTTCGTGAGCTGAGGAGTGTGTTTGTGTAGAACTTAGCAAGAGTATTGGGGCGGACGAAGTTGTAATAGGTATGAATATTGAAGAAAATATAATAGCTTGAGCAATAAAAAAAAATTTAATGTGCATACATATGTATACTATAATGAAGTTCTATATACTTTCCTTAATTTTCAAAGCTCAACATAAAAAAAATGAAGGTTTTACTACTTGTCATTGAGTTCAATTTATGATGGGTATTGAGAGAAGTCACTGACAGGTAGGCTTAGATATTGATATTTATGTATGTAGATAAAATTTCTATACAAAGGTGCTTTCGTCTTGGTTGATGTGCATTCATTTGCATGAGATGCCAGAATGAAAAGTATCAACTAATTAGTATTGATTGCTTCAGATATAATACATACATGTTAAGTAAACTATTTTTAATAGCGATAACCATCTTATTTGAAACTAATATATTTGAAATAATTGATTGCTTATAAATTTCGTAAACATCTAAATTGTTAAAAAGGCTTAAAAGGTAACGATGAAACGACTTATTTCATATAAATTTTGAAAAATTCGAACTTATTCAAATAAATGTGCGGATAATTTCGAAATATTTTGGACATTTACCTACCAATCGAAAACTTGGTGCGTGGTTTTGATGTGGTAATACTAAAATAAGAAGTGCTAGGATGTAGTATTATATATTTTTAGAGTAAAACTAATATATGTATTAAATTTATAAGTACATACCTTCGTAGAAAATATTTAATCCTCTTGCCAATATAATACGCAAAGTTTTTACTATTAAATCACCCGCTAGAAGTGAAATTCATTATGGCTTTCGGATTAAATTTAAGAACAGCTGTCTTATATTTGTGTCGTTTGTGCACTTCTGCTGGCGATCCTTTGATAATTTTTTATATCACAGAGCGGCTGTTAACCTATTTCGTGAATTTCCTTTAATGAAGCATTTTAACATTTACATAAATTAATAAATTATCACTCCGGCTAGGTATACTATAAATGTTGTTGTAAATTTTTTGCAATTAATATCCTATCCTGCAAAAAAAAAGCGTGAGTGTCATGCTATTTGTCAAGCTTAGACCATTTTTTTCACTTCACATACGCTCTGACGTTTCACTTTTTTTAAACCGCACGTCTTTTGTTTTACACTTTTCGGTCTTTGACTGGAAAAATATATTTTTTCAGTTTTCAATTGATTATTTCATTTATATTTGATATGACTTCTTTATATTTTTTCGCTCAGGTGTTGCTGATTCATTGGAATAAATCTTTAAATTTTCTTACGGTGGTTTGTGCTACGACGCACAGCTTCTTCATTGTCGCAATTTCGGCCGACGAAAATTTTACTGCCGCTCGACTTTTTGGTTATATGCGATTTTTTATTGATTTGCTCTTTTTTCAAACAACTTGCATTTATCATATTTTTTTCGCGTCTCAAGAATTTATTCAACAATTTTTTTTTGCATTAAAATTCGCAGGATTTGAATTTTCACAAATTTTCTTACGACTTTTCATTTCCACTCAGTACGTTTTCTATCATAATTTGTCACTTCTGCTTCTACGGTTGCCTTTTTAGCGTTTACGTCATTCTACGCACATTCGCTCTGCTTTTACAGAGAACGTACGTTCTCTTGTTTTAAATACATGCAGCGTTGCATTTATAAAGGAGTCGAGCATTCGGTTTCAAATAACGCGCAAAATTAAAAATAATTTTGCTCTAAACAACTAATTTAATAATCAAGCATCAATAAACAGGTACAACTGAATAAAGTGAGTATTAGCAATAAAAAGTGGATATTAAAGGAAAAAGTAATGCTTTGACCGAGAACGTAAATTACGTAAACTACGTTCTCTGCTTAGCTCACCTGTGGAGCGTTTCTTAGATTTATAATCAAGTGAATATTTTACAAAACTAAATCATGCTACTTTGCGATAGATGTCGCGCTAACCGGAAAAGGTCATAATTTAAGCGGCAATTATTTGGTAATAGCGGATATGTGTTAAGAAAGTGAAAGAAAAAGTTGTGTGAGTTTCGTGAAAAGTGGTTATACTTAGTTGTTAAGTGTTTAAGAAGTGATAATTTGCTGGTTTTTGTTGTTGTTAGTGCAGTGTATAGCAGTAGGAAATCAGCAAGTGTACTTTACATGGCGTGCTTGCAGCGTCGCTCATCGCGGAGCTCCTCAACTGCTTCTTGTTCCGGAACAAACATGCCATCATTGCAATGACGTCAACCAACTTGCAAATTAATTTTCTTTACAATAATACTGCTCCGCCACTGTAACTCCATCGTTCAAATTGCTTACATAAATCTGTAAATTTTTGCCCAGCTGCGTTCAGCGACGCCTACGTAGCAGCGGCAAGTTCTACTCTTCTTTTTCAAGGCGAACGCGCGAAATTTCATATTCATTTTGGCAAGGAATCATTGATCTTACTGGAATTTTCTCAATAAACAACATAACACACAGCAGAACACAACGTATTCAATCGCCTACGCATATGCCGCCAAAGTGTTGTTGAGAAACCAACGCAATTACACATAATAAATACAAATCAAATGTTAATAAACTTACCCCTGCATAATGTGTGGCTAAACATGTTTATATGTATATTCATACATATGCATAGGTGTGTGTGAATATTGTGACTGTGCGCCCCCAAAGCAGGAATACCTCATGACAGCATATCCAGCGTTTTAACGCTGAGACCGTTTTACGCACAAGGTGCGTGTGTTTTGTATACGGTGCTGTGTATAACATACATACTGTACATGTAGCTATTGTTTTTCTTTATGCCGTAAGCGCTATTGTGGCGCAAAGACGCCACCGAATCATTGATTTTTGCCAAATTCAAATGAGCATCTACGATCGCTGCGCAGAAGGCATTGATCTCGGCGACGTTGCTGTGGCGGCGACAGCGGCGGTGGTGAGTGCGTAAAGCGTTGTGAAACATGTGCTCAGGTATGCGGCAGTAACGCTGAAACGCAGCTTTAAAAGGTACGTTGACACTTTTGTTAATTTACCTTATCCCCACCGCGTTGCTCCAGCACCTATATGTGTACTCGTATGTCTATGGTTGGGGATTGTTTTCGTCCATGTTATTTATTGTGTTTGGTGTTTTTTCAGTGTTTTAGTTAAGTTAGCTGCGGCAGATTTAAGAAAGAATTTTACGCGCGCTTTTTGGTTTGCTAAATTTTGTTATTGTATTTGCATAATTCATAACCACTTAGCTTATATAATTTGCTTCTTTCACGCTTCCAAAGGCTATTGACATCTTTCAAGGATTTTTGTTTTATTTTTAAAGTGTAGCAAATTGTATGAGCAAATTTTTTGTGTTGTTTGACTTTGTAAGTTTACGCATAAAATACGCAATTCGGTAAATATTTTAATTGGCGTAGAAAAATACGTATTTTCGCATTGTTTTTGCATTTCAAATTTACTTACATACATAAGCACTTAAGAAAATTAAAATTTATATACTGCGCCAATAAAAAGTTGTGTGGAATTACCAACATATAAATAATCATATAGTTACTCTAAAACTATCAAACAGGCTGAAAAATAAAATCGCTTTTATTCAAAGACTATAACTTTTCCGACGATACCGACGATTTGTCTTTTGTTTTAAAGTTGGCCACAATCTCGGCGAGCACCTTCTCATTTCTCTCAATTTCCTCAATTTTTTTTCCATCGAGCATTTTCTTGAGGTTTAAGAACTAGCAAAAGCCACTGGTGAGCAGATTCGGAGAATATGTTAAGTAAGAAAGCAACTCAAAGTCCAACATATGTAATTTTGTCATCATTCATCATTTTCATTGCTTTGCGAATCGGTCTTGTTGAAATAACGCTTTCTTTTTCTTCAAATGAGCTCGTGTTTTCGCCATTTTATACTTTAACCGCTGCACGCTATATTTTCTTATAAAATCTTCGCTATATTTTGTGAGAATTTTTGATCTTTGTTAGCGACATCAAGCCTAAATGAATGCCAAGCTGCAAGTAAAGCAAATGCTATCCTTTAGAGTTGAATAGTCTTTATTAGCTTTATTTTACTTATAGAGCTTTGGTTGGGCTTAATAAAGCTCTGGCTACAACAATTCCACTGGATAGATGTTAAGTATATATCAATTCTTCGTCTGCTTGTAAGATTGCTTTCTGATTGAGAGCGCTTAACATGTCACCATTCTTCACCGTTAAAACTGCTTGTGTCGTTTGGAATCTCTGATATATTGTACTCGTATACAGACTCTATACTTTTAACTTTAGCGAGCTTATATATATACGATAAAACCCGAGTGGACATTGATATCTCCGTCTTTTTCATAAAAGATTGCTTAAAGGCTTACAATTTATTTTTATACAGTCAATGGAGATTAGGGTCTCCATTCCTTGCAAGAGCAATTGCCTGTGTGTTAGGAACTTGTGCCTGTTTTTTTAAGAGATTAGATAGTTGATTTCATAAGGGATATTTCAAGTGATATTTGAGACGAACTTTGTTAAAAAGTATATATATAGGTTCTTTAAAAAACATATTGCAAGAAAAGTCTGAGCTCACAGTTGTCCTCCTCATTTTCTAATAAGGCTTGTGGGTTAAATCATCAATATTTTCCACTTAAAGTCGCTCTGGACTCTACGGTTGACGACTGGCTTCAACCATTTGCCATTTTGTTACAGAAACCCAATCGTGTCGGCTGTGGATCGCTGATCGCTGCTGCAAAATATTTGACTTTATTGCCATATTCAACGCTTACGTAACTGTGCATCATTCTTGGTGATCTACGCCAAAAAAATTATGCTCTCGAAATTATTACCCAATCAAGGAAGCTATTTTTGTGTAGGCATTCAAATTACTCATGTATGGATGTATGTGTTCCGTAATTTGCGAATGCAAGCCCAGAACCAAACCTTCATGGCGCTGTCATAAACAAATATTTGACAATTGACAAATTTTGACTTGCATAATTACAAAGCAGGCAATCAGCGCCAACGAATCGGCGCATTTTCTCAAATTATGCAAAATGTCAATGCGTTCCCGAAAGAATCAATCAATTTGCCTATTCCGAGCGCTAAGAGCAACTTGTGATCGTCAAATGCTGATTAGTCACCTACTGTGGCGTCAATTATGCCGCAATTGTCGCGCAATGTCGCAAGTTGCCAGATGAAGAGCTGAGCACTTACAGACAAAATGTGAGCTGATGGGGGAGTAGTAGTGTCAAAAAAGGCAGCTACTGTTGGCAACTCGTTTGATTTGTATGTGCCAGTCTGTGCCTCAATGCGCTACGTGCCTTAACATTGCACGAAGTCGATAGAATACAAACATACATACCGGCCTAGATATATAGTTAGGGCAAAAACAGAGCGCGGCAACTGAAAATCAAACCCTTATGTGCACCTTCCGTTCGCAGCCAATGTTTATGCAGCGCCGCTACCGTAACGCTACTGTTGCCAAAAAACCCAACCTCAAATCAAAAATTTTTTGCTGCATTTTTTTAAATATATTTTTGTGAACTAAAGGTGTCTTGCAAAAGAGTTTTTTTTTAACACTGTCGAAATTTCGTTTGAAGAAAAAATATAAAAAACCAATAAAAAGAAGTGCAAACAGCGGCGCGTTTCGACAAATATTGCCAGCGCATTAGATATACTTAAAGCATATTAGTCGGCCTGCGGCTGACGCAATTTCCTTCAACATTGTGCCCGAACCCAGTTATCGGCGCGTTTGAATCTTCTTAATCAGCTAAAAAGTAAAGCAAAACCATTGTCAATATTGCAAAGGGTGCTACTAAGCCGAGTTTAAGTGTTGTTAGTTTTGCCAGCAAAGCCATTGATATAAACTCAAGTAAGGTGGTGCTAAGGTCGGGTGCAAATAAATATTAGATATTCACGTTTTCTATTTTACATTTTACAATTTTTAAAAGATCACCATTTTGTAGTAGAAGAACAATTTATTTAAGTGGTATCTTAATAATTAGATAAGATATCACTAAACAGTTTCTTAGATCTGAGATCAAATTTGAGATCGTGTTGATAAGAAATGTAACCCTGCAATCTCCAAAGATCATTCTCAACAGGACGAAACGTTTTTATAGTTAAAAAATAATAGCGGAATTGGTTTCTTCGATATCTACTATCTTTTTTAAACCTCTCTACAGTTTTTAAAATAACTGAATAATGAAGCAGTCTCACAATTTTAAGGCTGGAAATATAACCGGAGACTATATAGAGTTTTCAAGAGGTAGTTTTACTTAAGTTTCAAGTGACTTGAGTTATAGACTTTTAGTTGAATTAAGTTAAATTAATTAAGTTGGGTTAGGTTGGGTTAGCTCTAGTTGATCCATTGAGATATCAACAGTATGAATGAGAGAAATATACAAATAAACAGCCTTTACTGCTAAATAAAACTACGAGGTACCCTAGTCTTTCAGGTTTCTCAAAACACTCCTAAGAGACCCTCAGAAGAATGAACAAATATTTCCTGATTCTGCTCAAAAAGTGTCTTTTATGTCAGACACATTTTGGATCAGACTTAGTTGTGATTGATCAATTTTTTCACACCAACCAAATATACCGA